GAAATGATGACAATACAAAAAACTATTTATGTTAAAATGTGTTTTAAAAAATATTGTAACCGTGACTGAAAAATTGTAATACATTCAAAAGAAAACAAATTACATCAAAAGGAAAAAACAAGGGTGGTGTTACTATTGACACTAAAGATGGTATTTCATTTATTAAGAAATCGGTTTAGATTGGCGGCAATGAGGTGAGCATCAAAAAATTGTTAATGGTGAGTATAAGCGATTACAAGATCCTTGCCATCAAGCGCAATTTGTTTGGTAATTCAGTCGACAAAGAGACGGTAATTGAGCTTAAGATAAGAAATGGGAAGCTTGAAGTGAATTACGAGGCGCAGTGTGTGATATCTTAACGAGTCGAGTACAACACGTGGCATCATCTTGGTGTTGTGATGAATGACTTTTTGACTCTATACATCAATGGTGCTTCCGAGCTGAGACGCACACGAAATGTCATTATCTTAGAGGGAAATAGTTGATTAGGAAGGGTAACCAACACATTGGTATGTCTTTTGTGTAGGTGACATTATGATTGTCAATAATAACTTAAAAACATTGATTCCCGAAATAATGAAGAGGGGCATTAATTATAGAGGAAGGTTCTGGAATGAGAGTGAGATAAAGAGACCCGACGAGTGTAGTGTATTCGCTTAATGACATTATGTCTGAGTGTCGTCGGAGTGATGTAACCATTGAAGGCTTTGTGAACCAAACCTCTCCAATGCCATTATATATGTGTATTAATATGCTTGGAGGGGTTGCTTTATTAATGTATTTGGTCGAGTACTCGAAGACACAAAAAGCACTTGGAAACAGTCTCAAAATTCTGTTGAACACCATTTTGACGTCGAAGGAAATACAAGAGCAAATCGCTTGTAACAAAATGATCAGTGTGTTGGAGCGTGTTTTACTTGAAAAAATGAAAATTCTTCAATCAGTAAAATGAATTAATAGCCTTTGTGACACATAATAACACCAAGTTACGACTTTGGAAAAAAGCATAGTCGATAGTTCAGTTCATTCTACTTAAATTTAATATCTTGCAAGGGATCGTTGCTCTGTTAATACACACGTTTTCTGTGGTAAAAATGTGTAATAACAGAAATAAAAAAGACGAGTTTGAAGCATTAAAGTTGTTTTGCAAACTTGTTTATTATACGAGGATTGTGGGTAAATTGATAATACTCTTCATTGATGACAAAATAAACAACGAAGTCATCAAAGAGTCGACTTGGTTGTTAGAATAAATTATGGGCTTAGAAGCTTTGTATAAAAAACTGAATAACTTGACTTCATTTTTAATGTACTTATTGGGGGTCTTTGAGAAAGTCAAATAAAAACATTGACTTTCTCGTACAAAGTGATGTTGGGAGTAAAGCAGAATGTTATACAAATGAAGAGAGCCCATTGGGAAAAGGTAAAAAAAAACAACATCGATAATGGTAGAGTAGAAATAATACAATTCAAACACTAAGTCAGTGAAAAAAACACTAATAAAAATTGAAGGACAACTTGACTCCCGAGAGGTTATCAACTAAATAATGAACACTCTTGATTATGCAAAACTTTTTTTAATGCAATATATTTATTATTTAATTTTACACACAAAGAATGCAATTATGGCTCACCAAGTTCTTGATGGACTGGTTCGCATGATTCGGAATAGTTGTCTATGTCAACCATTACTTCTTCTTTTTTCAAGTGTTCTGAGTAATTTTGTAAATTATCTGGTTCATAAGATGCTTTCCTATAGTTTCTGTAATTCATTGGGTTTTTTATACATGTTACCATAACAAGTCTTAACACTTTATTGTGGTCAATTTTGATCATAAGTTTTTTATCAAATTTTTTAACTGATTGTCGGTTGATCGATCTGATTGTTGTCTGTTGTATTTTGGTTATTTGAGTTGTTTTTTTGTAAGTAAATAACAAATAACAATTTGTTGTTTTCAAATAATAAATAGCTAAATAACAGATAGCTGATTATAATATTTTTTAATAATAAGCATCTTGATGTACCTGGTAATTTTTCTCTACATGGGAGTTCACCATGATGTTAAAAATCCAGTGGAAAAGCAATGGTGAATCGATCACTTAAAAAATTATTCATTGAAATATCGTGCCATTTTTAAGTTTATTTATTCGCAAGTTGAAATTTACGACAGACAGATGTAATTTATTATACTCAACAAGCTCCTCAGATGATGGGGATGTTGATAAGAAAGTAGAAGTTGACAATGGACCAGAAAATAGTATTTCAACTATGCGGAATATTATTATCAAAATTTCAGAGATCTCTCCGAAAAGCAACTAAAAAAGATGCAGTATTAAAAAAGCATCATTGGTAGTGGAGTTGTTAAAGTCATCTTTGCAATGCACATGATAGCTTCTCTAAATATACTGTTGTTTTAGACAAGTTTTTACATTGTCAACCAAACCAATAAAACCTTGTAATATTGTTTCGTTAGATGAACATTAGTGTTCTTATAAAGGGTAGATGTTGACTAAGGTCATTATTAAGTCTACGCCAGGACTTTATGGTATATGATTTTTATTTGTTTTTTTATCAAATAAGTTTTATTTATGAAAAAGATTAACGGATAGTTATTATTTGTTCGATATTCCTTTTACTTAATTATTTTCCAGGGATAGTTATGTTTTTCTATTTTTGTAATTTTTTGTTTTCGAAATTCAGTTTGGAAATTATTATAAAAAATACAATATAAAAAAATATTTAAAAACACATTCCAATTCATTTGATATGACAAGTGTTCCTAATAATGTTAAAATTAGAATTAGTAAATGCACAAAGAATTTGAATAAAAGGTGTTTGTTTTGGAATTGATATTTTACTGATCATTAAAGTACACCCACAAACGAATGGAATTTTTGTTTGGTTTTTATATAAAAGTTCGTATAATAACATAAAAGTGTTAAATTTGTGTTGAAATATGTTAATAATGGTCATAATTACTTTTTAATGTGATAAAGTTTTATGCTTGATTATATTTTCATTACATTATTACACATTTATATAAAATTATAAAAAAATGACAACTACTCAAAAAAATAAATATGATAAAATTAAAATAAATGTTTATTTGAGTTGTTTATGTTTTCTTACTTGTAGATGTGTGTTGATTGTGAGACATATATGACCCTAATCATTTGAAAGTACTGTTGTAAGTGTGGTGGTTAGAAAAACAATCAAAAAAAACGAGTTGTAAGGAACATGGCGCTACCCATGTTGTGTCGTGATAACAAGTTCACTGTGGTATGTGACAACCTTTTCTGAATGTAAAGGTTGTCATATTACCTTGCTTTGTGTGGGTTCCAACATTTGAGAACCATGAGGATTGACATGAAAAAACGCCTTGATGAAGCCAAAACAATCAAAGGGAGAACCTTCGATATCACCAGCTTTTTTTCTCGAAGGGAAAGTGCAAACTTATCTCTTATTACAACGAGAAAAATAAGCAAATACTAGTCTTGTCAAACTGCCACGAAAAAAATGAAATTGAAGTCGTCGAGCAGAATCTGTTCGATGGCAAAGACAAATTGACAATACACAAACCCCAAGTCATTTTCAACTTCAACCACAAAAAGTGTGGGTGGATACTGTTGATTAGATGACCAGGTACTATACTAATAGACATCGAACTTACACGTGGAACACCTATACTTTATATGATATGATTGATATTGCTATTTTGAATTAATATCAAACATACTCAAATTACCATACTTGTAAACAAGTGGAGTTTTTGAATAATCTTTCTGGTGCTCTAATAAAAATATAATAAAATTTTTATTATGTTTCGTTTTTTTTCAAGTATAACTGTTTATTTCATTCAATATATGCTTTTAATTGAACCTTGAAAAATAACGTGAAATATAATAAAAATGGGGTATTTTTACATTTTTTTATGTAAAAAGTTTTCATAATATTATCGAAAACTTATGTTATTATGACATTCTGATGTACTAAACATCACAAACAACCGTTGTTAAAGTATATTCAGAAGGAAGAAAGTCAATATTGTATTGGAACGGTGTTTGTTGATCATTATATTAAATTGTAAATTTATTATTACAAAAATATTATTTTATATATTACCTTTTTCAATAAATAATATTTTTTATTAATAAATATAGTTTTAAATGTTTTTTATACTTGTTAAGTTTTTTCAATTTTTCTTAGCACGTTGTGTTCTTTACATAACCTATTTGTGTAATTATTTTTAAATTATTTAATGAAAAAAATATAATTGAATTTGATTATTTTTAAGATGTAAACAAAAAAAGGTAATGGAAATCATTACAAATGCAAAATAAAATAAACTATTTTCTAAACAAAAAAATTATTATTTTAAAATTAAACAAATAACAAATTTAAGAATAATTAAATAAAATTTATATATCAATTGAAAATTTTAGATAGACATTATTGTGTATATTTTTTGAATGTTATATGTTTTCAACAGTCATCTATAATTTTCAAATTGACAAAATTTTTAAAATATGAATGTATTTCTTTGAACAACACCTTGAAAAAAAATTACTTAAACTACTATTTTTGGATAACATTTTTATGTTGTTCGAAAACAGTAAAATTTGAATACTTTTACAAATGTTCGTATTATTTTTTTATAATTTGTGGTTTAATTTTTATTGTCACTAAAACACAAATATTATAAATAATAATTTCCTATTATTTATTTTGCATCAACAATTGTTTTTAAATAGTATAATAACATGATTATACTATTGGAATAATATATTATTTTTTGTTTTTAAATCTTATCATAATTATACATTAAAAGTAAATATTCTAATATTGAAAATTGGGTAATGACAAGTTTTAGTTATTTAATAATACATCGAAGCAAAAACAATAATTAAGTAAGATAAATTTATAGAAAATACACAAATCAAACTTGTTAAACATTTTAATAAAAATTAAATTATCATTTGCTGATATGAAAACGTTTTTGTTAGTCAGTCAATAATTTGTGAAACAGTGCCAAACGTTCTAACTCTTTTAAATTGTCTTCTTTAATTTTTTCTTTGTCTCCTCCACATCTAATTTCTTGTTTAATTTCATCAACAAGTCCACGACAATTTTTTCCATTTATATTTATGGCGTTATAATTTGGATTTTCTTTTAGTTTTCTCTCACCAATTTCTTTAAGATTGTCACTTTTTAATTTTGTTGGGAATTCACGATAATTTTGACTTTTAAAATCTTTGTTGTTCAAATAGTCTTCTGTGATATGAACACCATCTTCTCTCATTTCCACGAGTGTTTCTCCATCTCCAATAGCTTGGTGCCAAGGAATTAAATCTTCATTCGGCAATAATACAACACTTGCGGCAGTCATCGCACCGATTTTTACTTTATCCATAAATGTTTCTTTTTTTCGAGTGGAAGAACTTGTAGCGACACTTCTGAGTGGTTCAATAGGTCTTGAATAAACTGTGATAGGTTTAAGGTTTTCTTTTACTTTAGGCTTTGTTTCTGTTTTGATTTTTGCTGCTAAAGAATTACTTTTCTTTGATTTTGATAATCTTTGATGAAAAGAATGAGTATTGGAAGACTGTCCGTTTCCCATTTGGTTTGTAAATACAAAAATGTTGTATTAAATAGTCCTAAATTCTATTTTTGTGTTTGGACAAAAACAATTCGTAATAATCCAAAAATTCCAATTAAATTAGCAAACAATTTGGTTTCAATTTCGTAATTCTCGTGTCTTATATTCCAATTTTAATATTAAACAATTAATTTATTTAATTGAATCTTTTTAACAATAAAAAATCATCACAATTTATTATTAAATAAAAATCATTTAATACAATGTTAAATTAAAAACTGTGTATATTATTCTACAAAAATCAATAAAAACTGTATTTGGTTGGCGTGCAATCTTTTGTCGTTAATAAATTATTGGATGTGACAAAATAGTATTGATTTTTGAGTAAAAAAATAAAAATACTTTTTAACATAAAGGGGGTTTATGTTAAATTAAATTACAAGATCATGTTATTATTTCAAGATGAATTTATACTAAAGATTTTTTAATTATTATTTCCGAATCTGTCTAAATAATTTTCGGCGTGTGACTGTTGTCTGTCTAACATAAAAACGTGTTAAAAACTTTAAAACAAAAAAGTTGAAAATTTAGTAATAATCTAAAACAATGTTTTAAATAGTTTACCGAAATATTCCTATTTTAATGGTACAAAAATGTACTGACAACATTCAAAGTACCAAAGATTAGACTGTTTATCACATGGGTTTTTTATGTTATTTGGTCAATACAACAAACGTATAAATTCATAAAATAATAATTTGAAATAGGCAAAGTTATAATAATATTATAATTAATTTAGTTTTTTTTTGTTTTTTTAACAACATTTTAAAATTGTTGGAACTGGGGTTGTGTCGATACAAATTGAATATTCATTTTGAATTTGAATTTAAATTGTTTTTTTGTTTGGTAAGAAAAAAATGTTTCAATGATTTTTTTGTAATATAACAAAGGGTTTTATTTTTATAACAATTAACTATAAATACAATTTAACATAAGGAAGTTTATGTTAAACTAAACAAAACAACTGTAAATTAAAAATTGATTTTTAAAATTAATTTGCAGCAATTCAAACACCAAAATTGTTTCAATTTAAAAAAAGAACACAAATCGAATAATAATACACTAAAAGGAATTATAGATATGCCAGTAAAAAAGTGAGCAACTATTGGTATTTTCAATACCAAAAATATATTCAAAAAATTATTATAAATTTTAATATTAATTATAATTATAATAATTAATTAAATGTAAAGCACTGGAATAAATTTTAATTTAGATAAGCATTCGCCTTATTTTTGCATTACCACATTTTTTTAATTTGTTTTTAAAAATTATCAATTCAAAACAAATAAAAAATAAGCATCTTCTTTTTTAAATGTTCTGGGTTATGTAAAACATATACATATTATACATTGATAAATCATGTCTTTTGTATCTTGTTGTTTTTAAACGCTAAAAACTAAACACTTAATAAATATAATATTTCCCATTTTTCATTAACCAAAAGTTTATTCATTTTTATTAATACATGACAACTAGAACCAGTCTAATAACGAAACAATTGATTTTTTTAGAATGTGTTCTGATACTTATTCATATTATTCATTTCAAAAAGTACTAGATAACAAAGCTATATACTCATTGTTGTTTGACTAATCATGATATAATAACTATTCTTAAGTGTTAAGTAATATACACGTTGTTTATATTTAACAATAATTATCAACCTTTCATAATATCATGATATCAATAACAAATATTACCAATTAATTTCAAATGAAAATTTGAATTAATATATACTATTCATTTTACAACATTATAATACTAATATTATTTAAATTATTTAGTTTGTTATCTTTAAAATTATACATATTTTATAACATACTTGACAAATAACAATATAACTCGGTTAATATAATGAGTTATTAATCTTTTTCATTTCTTCACCATTATAAAATTGTTATCATAAGTTAGCACAATTAAGGTCTGGATATAATTGATTTACATCAACGTTAAATTGTTGATTAATGTTAAAATAATTCATATCGAATAATGGTGTTACAATTGGATTGTTGTTTATATATGTAACGGTCACTGGGACATAGTATATTGGCAATGTTACATTATTGTTTAGAATGTTAGTTTCAGTGTTTTGAATTGAAGAAAAACTGTTAATTTGGTTTATACTCACATCATTCTTTTCTTTATATTCCACGTTACTTTCATCGTCTTTTTTCTCATTATAAAGTTGATATTTGTCTTCACGGTCATTCAATTTGTCTGTGTCATTTTCATCAGTATCACCATCTGAATGATTAATAGACTGATCATTACTTTTGTTTAATTTGTGAATAATAATATCCTTTTCATACTTATCAAGTGTTACATATTCTATATTAGAGTATTTTGTATCGTATTTCTTTGAAATGTCGCCCAAAAATATCGCAGAGTCACTTGCCCGAGTTTTACTCTTAATAGTCATGCTATTAAATATGTCTGAAAAATATCGAAGACCATGTTCTCCATCTTCAATTTCGGTTTCGCGTCTATTTTTCATTACAAAATCAGACTTTCGAATGTCATAAGATGGTATAAATGACAGTCGTACGCTTGACAACTTTTTTAAGTCTTTTGCTGTTTGTGTTCGTCTTTCACTCTGGTTTTCTGAGGGGAAAAATGTTTTGATTTTATAATTTAAAAAATTCATTAAAGACAGCAGTTTGTCGGTGTTGTTCATTTCTTCAATTGCTTTACAATCAGACGATGTATCATATTTCGTTAAAGTCTGTAAAGAACACTTCCTTATTGGTACCCCTTTGATCAAAACAATATTTGAGTTTTCTATCATATACTTTTGATTTGAGTCGTATAC